TTTTATTTTGGTCGATATTTCGCCTTCAGTCTGAAGGCATCTTCAGGACTAAAAAAGGAAAACAATATTTTTACATCATCACAATATAAACCAACAAAAACATACATATGCACAAGTGCATTAAAACGACTTACACTATTAGCTTTGTCCGGTCGACTAATCATATGTTAAAATGTAAAATAACAAACAAGCACGAAGAAGATATTAAACATAAACAGGAAAACTAATAATTAAAATACAGTAATTGTAAACAAAATTTTTTACACAAATAACAATACATGAAGTGCTGAACAGTAAGACTAAGAAATGTTTGTATGTCATCTCAGCAGAGCAATGTTGTTGTCCGAAGAAATCTTGGCAGCAGACGGACGATGAGTTAAACATGAACACACGATCACACGACACCTACACTGTAGGTTTGTTGCTGTGCGTTAGAACTAAATTGCGATAAACGTGAGCGCAATTGTCGGTGTTCGTTTTATATTTCATCCTTTTGTGATTAGGGGTGTTCATAATATGTAGCATCTCTAAAACATAGCGTTTATTATAGATTTTTTCTTCTTGCAAGATTGCTACTTTATCAAAGTCGGGATAATGTCCCGTATCCTGGCAATGAGATGACAAGGCTGTCTTATTGTCCGCCGAATTATTCCTCAACTTAATGTTTGATTTGTGAGCGGAAATCCTTGTCTTTAATTTCGATTTTGTTGTCCCCACATATACCATATCGCATACGTGGGACGCGTCGCCACTGCATGGTATTCTATAAGTTACATCAGACTTCTCATTTATTGGAATTTTATCTTTGGTATTTGAGTTAACTTGTTTCAGCGTATTGTCATAAGTAAACGCTATGCGGAAATTGTCCTTGTCATATATTTTTGAGTATTTAATTCTCTCAGATAATCCTGGTACATATGTTGCCGATTTATACATTTGGTTGTTCCCGTCACTATTTGATTTCTCTTTACCGGTCTGGACATAGAAGTCGCGGATAAGCTTATTAATTAAGGAATGTGGAAATTCATTTTTCCGCAGGATATCTTTGATAGTGGCAATGTTCTTCTTATGATAATTTTCGTCACTTATCGTGAGGACTCTTGTTATAAAATTTTTGGCGGTATTTCGAATTATTTTCTTCTCATGTCTCGAGTTAAAATTAATGAGCCTCCCTGATGCTGTAGGTTTCTTATACCAGTCAACTGTTAATTTGTTATTATTCCTTATTATTAGGTTGTCCAGGTAGGGTAATTGTCCATCTTTTTCTATTTCTAATGTAAATTTTATTTTCTTGTTGTAATTGTTTAGTGTGTTAAGCATCTTGTCAATATTTTCTGTTTTAGCAATTGCAAAGATGTCGTCAACATATTTAGTTAGTAATCGGGGTTTGCTTTCGGCGTCATTTTCAAATTTGATTAATAATTCCTCCATTACTATGTCTGCTTTAACCGGTGAAGCGGGGGAACCCATAGGCATTCCTGACTTTTTCTCTTAAATCTTGTCGTTATATCTGAAATAGCGATTCTCTTTAATGCAAAATTTCAATATGGTTAAGAAAAGGTCTTTGGTTAGAGTTGTATATTCTTGTATTGAACTCCACTTCGAATCTATTATCTCTATGGCTAAATCCACGGGTATGCTTGGAAAAAGCGAGACGACATCAAACGACACAAGACATTCATCGTCGTAAATATGTGTTTTTCCGATCTTTTCTTTAAACTCGACTGCGTCTTTCACATTAAACTTGGAGGACATTGTTACATTTTTGAGCACGCGGACAACATATTTACAAAGGTTATAGGACGGAGAACTGATGGACGAACATATAGGTCTTAGTGGGATTCCTTCTTTGTGAATCTTAGGCAGACCGTAAATTCTAGGGGGATTGGCCGTTTTGCAAGTTAGGTTGTTCCTTTCTTTTAAATCAATCACTTTGTTGGTGTACATTTTCTCTACAATTTCGTTATTTTTAGTTTGTAATTTATTCGTGGTATCCCGTTTCAAAACCCTGTATGTCGAAATGTCATTGACTATTTTCTGCATCTTTATATCGTATTCCGATTTTTCCATCATTACAGTTACGTTTCCTTTGTCCGCATTGAGAATTAAAAGTTGGTCATTATTTTTTAGGAACGTCTTAGTAGAATGTAGGGTATCACGAATAAATCTATCTCTAATGGTGATTGTCATTTTATTGAGGTGGTCTCCTATTAATGTCGTCAGATTATTTCTTTCTATTTCCTGATTTTCTTTATCTTTAATCGTCTGTATGCAGCTTTCCCCATTTGCAATAATTTTAAAAATTGAAAAATCTTTCTTGGTCATTGGTAAGGCAAAGAAAGAAGGAAATGGCAATGCCTGCGGAAAAATGAATTCCCACATTCCTTAATTAATAAGCTTATCCGCGACTTCTATGTCCAGACCGGTAAAGAGAAATCAAATAGTGACGGGAACAACCAAATGTATAAATCGGCAACATATGTACCAGGATTATCTGAGAGAATTAAATACTCAAAAATATATCACAAGGACGATTTCCGCATAGCGTTTACTTATGACATTACCCTGAAACAAGTTTACTCAAATACCAAAGATAAAATTCCAATAAATGAGAAGTCTGATGTAATTTATAGAATACCATGCAGTGGCGACGCGTCCCACGTATGCGATATGGTATATGTGGGGACAACAAAATCGAAATTAAAGACAAGGATTTCCGCTCACAAATCAAACATTAAGTTGAGGAATAATTCGGCGGACAATAAGACAGCCTTGTCATCTCATTGCCAGAATACGGGATATTATCCTGACTTTGATAAAGTAGCAATCTTGCAAGAAGAGAAAATCTATACTAAACGCTATGTTTTAGAGATGCTACATATTATGAATACCCCTAATCACAAAAGGATGAACAATAAAACGGACACCGACCTTTGCGCTCACGTTTATCGCAATTTAGTTCTAACCAGGGATGAAAAAGTAGGTACAATTGTACCTTTTTCCGACGTTTGATGACTTAAAGGTACATTAGGTACAGTCAGTAGATTTTAGGTACAATTATTATTATTGACCCATATTCGCTTTTTGATTTCTGGAAATATATTTAAAATGCTTTCGAAGTTACTTACGGCAATTAGATTATTTTTCTAGACTTGTTGCACCTATTAAAAGGAATCGGATAAATTAGCATGTCGGCCGCTGTGGTGTAGTGGTAAGCAGTGCGCGCTTCCACTCCGCAGCACCAGGGTTCAAACCCTGGTCCAAGAAACATCGCAAAAATATAGAAAAAAAAATTTTCTTGACAGCGGTCGTCCCTCGGCAGGCAATGGCAAACCTCCGAGGGTATTTCTGCCATGAAAAATAGCTTCTCATAAAAATACAATCGCCGTTCGGAGTAGGGCACGATTTCGAACCGAAAGTATCGATATGGTACTCGTTTAAAGTATCGCTTTAAAAATATCGGGTACCCATTAATATCGGAATAAAAAGACTCTATATTCCAAATATCGATACCAAAATCCAAAAAATTTATCTGAATATAGGCCGCTGGGGTGTAGTGGTTAGAAGTGCGCAAACCTTGAAAATGAAAAACAGCTTCCCATAAAATACAATCGCCGTTCAGAGTCGACATAAAACTGTAGGCACCCCCTTTGGGCCACAACATTAAGGCCCACGCGACAAATCGGAGGAGAAGTTCGGCCAAACACTAACATATTGTGTAAGTGCCGGACTTTCTGCACTTTAAAGCCCAATTTATTTCGGGAAGAATTGTTACAGGCCAACCTTATATCCGAGCGTAAAAAGCTAACTCAAATTCCAAGATTTGTCTTGCGTGCCATTTCGATTTGACGTTTATGCTCAACTGGCATTTTGGCGCGAGCATGAATTCAAATTTTTCTCAGCAAACTTCTGCCAATTTGACAGAAATGCAACTCTGAGAAATCACGCACGCAAATTGATTTGGGTTTATCAAATGAGAAAAACTTGCGTGCGTGCGTAGAAAAACTCTCGCCGGTAATATTAGGTTGAGCTGTTAATAACATTATCCTTCACTGAGAAAAAAAACGCGTTATAAGAATAAAAAACTTTTATTTGATTACCGTTTAAAAATGTTCGTATTTAAATCAAGAGAAAAGTCTTAACAAAATGGATTTTTCCATTCAATTCAAAAACTCCCGTATTAAAATGAAGCATTTTTCACTACACGGATGGTGTTTTGCACGTCTCGGATGCTTTTTCATATGTAATTAAGAAAGTATATGCCCAGCAGGGAAACCGCGGACTAGTGAATCAAATTTCTAGTTCCGTACTAGGTCTTTATCGCCAAAAAGGAAATAGTCCGATAGGAACTAGATCCCCACCAGTCCAAAGTCGGCGAAAAGTGGTACTTTTAAAAAACTAATTTTTTTCAGTTTCTTCACTAGAAATCTATATCTAAAGTGACGAATTTAGAAATGGTTCGGAACTATAGAAAAAGAGATGCAGAACGAACTAGATCTTATTTGTCGAATTTAGAACTAGTTCGGAACTATAGAAAAAGGGATGCAGCGGGGGGCTTGTTTACTTTACATAGATATGTGTTCGGCGGCTTTTCGTTCAAATACGATTCTATACTGCACTTCGCTTTTTCATAGCTTGGTAATACAAAACCAAAATTTGTGTTAACATTTCAACATCTTGGGACCGTCTGGAATGTAACAGCGAGCACCTCTGCAAACTCAGCTACGGCTGAAATTGAAAACACATTTCTTTCAAAATAACTTAAAATCGCACACACAGAAGAACCAAAAATATTGAAAAATCATGACACTTTTTTCTTTCGTCTGTCGATTTTAGAACTGGTTCGGAACTATAGAATATAGGAGTAGTTCGGAACTATCGAAAAAGGGATGCAGCGGGGGCAATTGACACTTCCTAGGACATCGTCATTTTAAATTCGCCAGTTGCTTGCATACAAAAGATATTTATCGCGAACCAGTACTGGGTCTAAATATACTAGAAGCGCACCAGTTCAGAACTAGAGATTTTCCCTACAGGGTGTATACAAAGCATGCACAGCGGTGACAACACATACACACATACATGGTATGACATAATGCACTAATCGCGCGCTGTGATGTTGATTCAAACTAGGTTGGCCAGATGCGCTGATTTAATCAGTACATGTGCTGATTTTTTTCTATTGTACTGATTTTTAAAAGCCCGAAATCAGTACGCAAAATCTACTGATTTTTTGAGTTTGTACTGATTTTTACATTTAATAAATACTTCTGTAAATTGGTGTAATTGACATTCACTTGAGGTTTACATGTTCAAAACAATGGTTTTTGACAACTCATACGTGTGAGCAGATTGAAAGCATTAATTAAATTTAAAGCATTATTAAAAATGTGTCAGCTTGCAATTGTTTGGTTTCCTAGGATTTCGCAAAATAACAAACTGTTTGGATTCAACCCAACCCAACTTCACGATTTGCGGGTTTTACAGGATTTACAGGAAAAGCTGGTTTCGCCATTAATAAATCTTATGAAAGGTGGTGCTGAGTTAATCATACATTAAGTACACTGAGACGATGACAACAAGAGATAATGTTTTGATTATAAATAAACATCCACTGAGAAATCGGCTGTCAGTATTTCAACCTTAAGACGACTACTGCTACCACCGTGCAAACTACCGACTCTTGGATATTATATATGTAGATTTACTTTGATTTTTGATGTTCGACCTACTGTAATTTTACTTGCACATACACATTTAACACTATTAAATTTCATTCGAACTGGAAAATTCGTTTTAGTCAATATTTTAATGTGAATGTTGTATTTAATAAGTACACCAACTAAATATGTTTTAAATTTGTAGCTTAAAATATGCAAACAGATTCTGACTCGAGCTCGTCTTCTACTGAAACTGAATGGGCTAATTTTTTTTATTTTGCAATTTTTATGAATTTTCTAGAAAGTTTGAGACTCCAACTCACATGTCTTTCGTTATCGAATTAACTATATTTTTATAAAAAATTTAAATTAAGTAAGGAAAGAAAAAATTTTCAAAACCTGTCAATGAATTTTACTACTATTTTCGTGAGCACAGCTGTACATACATACGTAATACTTTTGATTTGTTTTAAAGTAATGAATTTTTATATTGATAATACTATATGTATTTAAAAGTCTATTAATTATTTTTTGCTAATTAATGCGCTATTATTTGGTTGTTATATTGTTAATAATAAAAAATACGCTTAAAAATGAGCTGATTTTTATGGCTTTGTACTGATTTTTGATCCCTACTGTACTGATTATGTCATTATAATATCTGACCACCCTAATTCAAACTCAACATTTGAAAGCACCTTTACATGTATGGCTGTAGATGAGTGTGCAAAGACGCTTGATACAATTAGTTGCGTCCAAGAGGGTCCGGGTTCAATTCCCATCAGACGGAACATAAAATTAATTTTTGTTCTTTTTAATTACGAAAAAGCATCTGTGCACTTCACAACCACATATTTTATAACGTATATACTCAAATTTAAAACGAGTTAGGGTGGTGCTATTTCATATGCGTATT